TGTTGGTGGGAATGTAAATTGGTACAGCCGCTATGGAAAACAGTATGAAGGTTCCTTAAAAAATTAAGAATAGAATTACCATATGACCTAGCAATCGCTCTTCTGTGTATCTATCCAAAAAAATCTGAAAACATTTATCTGTAAAGATATGTGTACTCCGATGTTCATTGCAGCATTATTCATGGCGGCCAAGACATGGAAACAACCAAAGTGTCCTTCAATAGATGATTGGATGAAGAAGATGTGGTACATACACACAATAGAATACTACTCTGCCATAAGAAAAGATGAAATACTGCCATTTGCAACAACATGGATGGATCTTGAGATTATCGTGCCAAGCAAAATAAGTCAGACAGAAAAAGTAGAGAACCATATGACTTCACTCATATGTGGGACATAAAACTGAAAGCAACAAATGAACAAGACAAACAAGCAAAGAAACATAAAATCATAGACACAGACAATGATTTAGTGGTTACCAGATGGTAAGGGAGGGTGGTAGAAAAGGGAAAAGGGGGGTCAAATATATGGTGATGGAAGGAGAGCTGACTCTGGGTGGTAACACACAATGCAATATGTAGATATTATAGATTTGTACACTAGAAATCTATATAATTTTGCCAACTAATATCACCCCAATACATTTAACAAAAAAGAAAAAGAAAAACTGTATCCCTGATTGATGCCTTATCTTTTCATTTGTGCTAATTCCCTTACCTATAGTATAGCCCACTGATTTCTAATTCCTTAGTATGAATGCATGTATCACACCACCTTTCTCTCTGAGGAAATAGGAAAGGACAAGAAGGCAGTGGATGGACATAAGAGGAACAAAACTCTAACTATATTTACTTCATAATTTTGCCTGGTGGTAAAACTGATACAGGCTTTGCTTAAATACCACAATTACCTATAGCAACCTTGCAAAAATCAAATTTTTATTAGAATTTGCATTTTTATTCTTTCCTATTCTGGAATGAAGTGTTTTCTTTTTCAGCTTTTGATGGGAATGTAAAAATTGCAAGATTTCCAGAAGCAAGGGTCATGAGTGAATTACAAGCTAAAAACTAGGTGTTCCCTTATCTTTGGATGTGAAATAATTGTTCTTCTTTTCCTTTCAGTTTCTTCTTTGCGGCATATGTGGAATATTTTGCGCCAAAAAAAAATCTGGACTTGTCGTAAGTTACTGCTTGTTTGTGCTGAATATTGAAATATTTGAAATGTAAGAACTCAGAATGAAAATAGTGACTAGCCAACTTTCATCTGCTGAATGTTACTCATTTAGGATAAAAAGAAGACTGAAAAATCCAGGCCTTTTTATTTTCAAAGAAAACCATCAAGATTATTAGAAACTATGATTAAAAAAAAGGAAGAAAGAAAGAAAGAAAAGCTTTGATATACTCTTTAAATACATGTCTATGCAACTCTTAATGACTTCTGTGGATGACAGTTTCCTCTTCCAATTTATAGACTTCCAAACATTCACATTACTCCTTCAATAAGCTGAAAAAGATATAACTTGAGTCTCTGGGAAATTTAACTGTTTAAATATGGAACTGAGCCTAAAGATTACTGGCTTTGTTTGACTGTGAAGTTAATTTTGCAAAGCAGCAAAACAGCTGTGTTGTTATAGTTACAGTTAATTCCCAATGATTTTTTTTTTATTTCATTTTATTTTATTACTGTGAATGCAAATGTAAGCATTTTCAGATGTTTTATGGTACTATCGTGGGTTTCAAGGGTACGGAACATGCTCCCAGTTAAGTCTGACATTGGCTGGAAGATAACTTCTGCATGCTGAAGTGTGGGTTCCCCCACTGCCTTCCACGTCATTTTATGAGAGTTTTGGAAAGAAGGAAAAAGCGTGGTTTATTTTATTGAGCACAACAGGAAAGATCATAGACCTTTAAGAAATGGCAAAACTAATATGACACATGGACCCAGCAAGTGGTCTTCGAGCCTAAAAAGCTTTTTCCAAGGAGAAGCCAGTTATCTGAGGAGAGAAAGGAATGGGGAGTAGTGCAGTTATTTTAAACTCCTTTTTGCATTCACGCCTTCCTCTGTGAGAATATCTACTGAGACAAAAAGGATGACATCTCCATGGCTTTAGACATATGATATGTAATTTTTAAAATTACATAAAAGGAAATCTTCGGATAAAAATTTTCTTTTGGAGGCTTGTAGTTTGCATCTATGATTTTCCCATCACTCTTTGGACATGGACTTCATTTTTTCTACATCTTTCTTTTACAAAGACGCTTTATGGCTGTGTAGTAACAATTTCTTGGAACTGGGATGAAAGAAATAGTTGGGGGGAGAGAAGGGGGAAGAGAAAGGAGATCTCTTAGTCTATTGGAGCTGCTATAACAAAGTACCATAGACTGGGTAGCTTATAAACAACAGAAATTAATTTTCATGGTTCTGGAGGCTGGAAGTCCAAGACCAGGGAGTTGAGTTTTGGTAAGGCCATCTTCCAAATGGCCTTGCAGGCTTTGGCTGTTTTCTCACATGACAAAAGGGGGAAGAGAGCTCTGTAGAGTCATTTATATGGGCACTGATTTCATTCATGAAGACTCCACTCTCATGACCTAAGACCCCACCTCCAAATGCCATTATATTAGGGATTTGGCTTCAACATACGAGTTTCAGAAGGACAAAAACATTCAGTCCATAGCAGAAGGAAAGGGAAAGAAAGGGAAGAGAAAGGAAGGGAAAGGAAGGGACTTTTTAAAAGCTACTAGTGTCTTTTTTCCATTTTTCTAATTCTCTTACAAGCTAGAAAACAAAAATCTGATATCCTCCTGTATCATCTGGGGTTCCCACAGATGACATTTAGCTATCATGGATTCTCCACCCTTCAGTCAAATCGTGTAAACATTTCTCCACTTCAAATACCTCTGGCATCTAAAATTTCCAGACTGGTGAGATTTGGAAATAGTAGATGGTTATAAACTTGGGTATAGATTTTACATTTTAATTCCTAGGTGAGAATGTTCTGTCTGCACATGTTAATGAAGTGCCATGCCTTGAAAGAATTACTGAGAATAACATCAAAAGAGATACATGTTTTCCTCTAATAGTCAATTAAATTTGTCATTTTTTTCTTAATTAACAGTTATTAATTATTTGAAGGCTCAAATGTAGTCTCCTTTCATATTTTCTAAGAATGAGTAAACATCAAAATATATTCCCAAGAAACTGCATTCCTTCTGAACATACTTTCAAATGAAATATTACTGATTGATTCTACTTGAAATTGGGAGCTACACATTCCTACTTGGGATGATTTGATTACTTGGTAATTGATACTCAGTATTATATTTAATCAATTATAAAATATTTTATTCATCCATCACTGGATTTTCAGCATTGGTGATAAGTACTGTGAGACAGACACATTAAGGAATGCTGAATTAAGTTGGAGAAGTAAAAGGAATTATTTGTAGTTCTTTCTGCCTGTCATGCTATTTCACTGTGCTACTTCCTACATTCATGGCCTTATCCTTTGCTGGGAACTACATGCACTTAGCTTAGATGACATTTGTCAAGGAAGTCTTGTATGAAACCTCTGGTTGGGCTAAATTCCTCTCCTCCCTACTCTGAGCGCAACGCATTCATCCCTCTTTCTTAATATTTGCCATGCCATATTGGAACAGAGGGTCTTCTCTCACACAAGACTGCAATGTTCTAAGACAAATAACTAAGAGCTACTGGTTTTTTTGTATCACCAACTGCTACCTGACTCCAGGCCTAACAGCTGCTAGGTGCTTGATAAGTGCTTGCTAAACTCAACTGTCAACAACAAATAATACCTGAGAAGGTAGAATTAAGTGCTATAGTAAGTATTCTACCTATTTGCCTTGTGGAATTATGCCAAAGGAGGAGATCAATAAAGTCCTAGAAGTCTTTTTGAGAAAGTTAGGACTACATTTGGGCCTTCCATCTAAGGGTCCAAGGAAAAAGCAAAATTCTTTTTAGGAAATGAAAAATATTGTTGAGGTGGAAATGTACAAAGTGTATTGAGGACAAAAGAGGAGACAGGAGCAGAGACTCTGTTCCAGATAATGGTGGAAATAACGTGACATCATTAAAGCAGTATCATACTATAAAGCACCCTGAAAATCCAGAAGAGAATACAAAATAAAATTATTAAAGCTATTGAAATATTCAATTAAATGTATTAAATATGCACAGACCATTTACTATACAGACAGTGTTGTGCTTGGTTCTGCCAGAGGTCCTGTGATATTTAGGTTGAATAAAAACACTAGTTCTATTAATAGAGGCCCAGATCAAGCCAGTAGTAGGATCAAAAGCAAAGCCATACTGTGTTTCTCCAAAACAACCAACCCAACAGTATTTTTGGAATATCTATTGTGTATTTTTCACTGTCGTGCCACATAGTAACAAAAGATTTGTAAAATAAAAGGTCAGTTCACAATGAGTCCCTAAACTGCCTGTTAGGGAAATAGATACACACACAATACAATTTTTTTAAATGAAAAGAAAAAGAGTTAACTATATTTCCTAAGTAAAAAAGCTAGAAGAGTATGAAAATTTGAAGCTTGGTGGAACTAATGATAATTCAATGAGAAGGTATTTAGATATTTATGGTGGGGATTAACATAGTGAAACAGAGTTGAAGCCAGAAAATCTGAGATCAGGCCCTAAATTTGAGCATGGCTTACTCACCATTTATTTTCCAAAATGTATATTACTCTCTCTCTCAAAGAATTGCTGAATGGACTAATTGAGATGGCACCTGTTGATGTTCCTAGGAGAGTTGCACACATTGGATGTGAAATAAATAGTATCTGAATCTACCTAGAAGACAAATTTTGCTTATTTCAGAGTTTTCATAAAATGTGTCCTTGGCCTTTCTATAGTCAACTATTAATTCCTGAAACACTGTGGTCTACACCTTCTCTATGGAGTCAGATTACATAGAAACTTGGTGAAAGGAGCGCTCCTGTCCTCTAGGAAGCCCCCAAAGCATCTTCTCCTTATTGTGTTGTAGCTCAACCACCCTGGATGTGTGACAAGACAGACATTGCACTGTGTTGGGTCAGCTCTGCTTTCTCAACTTTAACACCCCCGTTCCTTTCCTTCCCAGATGATCCTCTTTTCTGCCTGCTGCATCTGTGGACTCATTGGGGGCATACTGAATTTTCAGTTCCTTCGGGCAGTGACGAAGAAGACGTCTTCCCTCTACCCTCTGCATCTCGCCTCCATGTCCCTTGCATGCATTGGGATTGGCGGCTGCACCCTCTCTTCATGGCTCACTTGTCGACTAGCCAGCTATGAACAGAGGAGGATGTTCTCAGAAAGGGAGCATTCTTTGCATCACTCACACGAAATGGCGGAGAAAGTGAGTCTTGTGCTTTTTCTTCTCACTGCTCTTGTGTGATGAAGATTGCAGTCAAATCTAGGTGAATTAATGTGCAGCTTTAGATGAGAATTTGAGGAATTAGACTTCATAAAAGTTTGGTCCTACTAGACTAAGAATAGGAATGTATTATTTTTGTCTTTGGAATTCTGGGTACACCTATTTTCAACATAATTTTGTAGCTTTTCTATCTATACAAAAGCACAATTTCTAAAATGGCATTTTATAAAATACTAAATGCCTTATAAATATGGATTTTTATGTATTAAGGAAAAGCACTAAATGCACTCTCAACTCAATAATGACAGTTTTAGAAATCAGATGAATTCGCCTTTCTAGCCCACCCCTTGTGCTTGTAAGTAGATGCATTTGATTATGTAAATTAGATTTTCAAGCATAAAAGGGCCTTTTAATAAGGCGACAAAAAGCCTTGCTTATCAGTGCAGAAATTTCAATTCACATAAAGCTTCATTTAATTCTCATCTAAACTTCATGCATATTTGGGTAACTATGCCTGTATTTTAAACAATGTTCCTTGCATAAGTGTTTCATGAAACCCATTCAAACAGGAAGTTACATTTATCACATAAAAGAACAAATGATGTGGTGACCTGTCTATGTTTCTACTACCTTTTGCACATATTTTAACATTTATATCCTGCTACTGAATCTATTAAGGAAAATATAAGGCATCTGTGAAATAAACTCCCTAAGATAAAGGCTACATCATATTTTACTTGATATCATGGAAGTAAAGCTGCATAACCACAGAAGAAAAAGTAGCAAGAGTTACCACTGCATATTTCTGTACAATGTTATTTTAAAGAAAAACATTTATTCTGTAGTTTTATGTGTTTCCATTTTGTATACAATCTATACATTCATATAAAAAGAGTACATGCTCTTGAATTGTTCCAAGAAAGCAATTTTAAACAGATTTATGTGTGTCTTTCAAAAAAGTTAATAGTACAAATAGCAGACCTGGTAATTTAAAGAAATGGGTTGTTAAAATTAGATTAATGTTCTACATATGGATAGTGGCTCTTTCATGCTCTATTTTTATACTAGTGCAATTTAGTTTTTTGTGTATATGTGTGTGCAATATTTATTGTATAACTGTTATATTTATATTAGAGATTGAGGGCTATTGAAATAACCGACTTGCCCAGCTGCCCGATGGTGCCCCCGACACCAGAGTTACCTACAAGGTACGCTGATTTTTAGGGAGTTGCCATGTTGTAATGTCACTGCAGGAAGTGCCTCCTCTTCTAGGAAGCCATGATTTCAGCAGATCAGTCTGGACTGATACTGGATGTTGTTTCTCAAAGTATCACTTTCACGAATGCTACTTTGAGGACCTGACATAAATCTACATGGCAGAGTCTTGCAGCTTGAAAGTTGGTTGAGTATTTAAAATATTCGGCCTGCCTATAAGCATCCAAACACATTTCTGCTTGGATGATTCGTGACTCCTTTATTCTCTGCTACATCATGATTCTGACTCAGTGTCATCATTCACAGACCAGAGTTTTGTTTTTCATAATAGATGTATCTGATAAAGGCAAACTATGTCTCTCCCATGGCAAAAACACATGAGCAGATAAGCTAAGTCTGACACTAATACAGTAAAAATTCTGTATGAAATTTTCTTTTTGTAAAATTACCTGATGTGATACACATCAAATGTATTTCCCATATTTTGTATCGCTTAAAATAAATAGTCGCCACTCTTGCTTTGGTTAAACAATATAATTGAAAACACAGAATCTAGTCACGTAGGCTCTGTGGCCCAACTGCAGAAAGTATGTCCATTTGCAAATACTAGTCATGCCCAAATTTAAAGTATAATCTTCCTGTTAAATTGGATATGCTTACTTGCAAATAAGCTAGAGATGCTCATTCATTTAAAAAGGGATTTTCACTGTTATTTTTCTACAGGTGATTTGATTGTGCCTATATTTAAGTGAACTTAACTAAGAAACCTCTTTTTTTTTGGTAAGATTTTTAAAAACTGGATTTTTTTGCCGTACAGTAAAAAAATACATTAGATTAGTTTTTATGATTTTTAAGCTACTTTTTTAACGTAAAGCCATTTTAAGGGAAAAAAAAAGCACCTAAGAAACTTCTGTGAATTCATTAGGAAATTGTGCTTTTGCTCTAGTCAAAGGAATAGAAAAAGATGTCTGAGTGAATATTGCTAAAGATCATTTTGGGAGGATTATTTCTATTTCTCTTGCCACCAACAGGGAGTTCCTGAATGAAGGCTCAAATCAGGTTTCTTATCTGTAAACTTAACCACAGCCCAATAAACCTAATGTATTTTTAGACTTACCTTTACTTCCTATATCTCTAGCAGAGCCAGCCTCTCAATCAGACTCAACCATCACCAGATCCTAGAGGCAGGCTGCTGGCTCTGTTTTCAACTTCCTGTCAAAGCTTTTACCCTAAAGGGATACAAGTTTTTAGTTTTTGTTTTCGTTTTTGTTTGTTTTAGCACCTTAGTAGGGGAGATAAAATGGATATCCAGGGACATGACACCGAGTCCCCTAGCCCGGAAGGAGCCAGGGTACTTTGCATGGAGTCAGTTCTTGATGTAAGAGGTAAAGTCTCTACTGCTTTATTGTCTCCTTTCCCAAAATGTTCCTGGAAGAAACTCTACTCCATCTTCTAAAAGACGGTAGTTTTCAAAAGCAAAGCTCAAAACCTAGGCCACTTCCTACCAAGTCACTCATTGCTCCTTCTAAGCAACTTTCAAAACCAGACAATCCAAAAAAAAAAGCAAGCGTTTTCCTCCTATTTTACCTTCTGTATTACATTTTCAAAGAGAAGAGACAAAAAATGATGCATGGATACCCTTTTATTTTCAAATAAATATTTGGAAGAATTTCTAAAGTTTATAAAAGCAAACACAATACTTTGTAATTGTTAATTCATCCAAACAGAAAGTAGATATAGCCATAGCCAAGAAATAATTGGGAAAATAATTTCCATTTGAATTGTTCTTTACCGCTCTGTTGCAGATAGGCTTGTTCTAGTGTGGAAAGATGTTGTCATCTATTATTAGATAGTTTTGCCTAAATACTATTTAGAATATGGTACACTAACCATTATAAATGTGAATGAGCCTCACATCTCCTCATTACCTTTTATCGTGTAGGGAAGAGCTTAAAGTTTAATAAAACATGAATTAAAAGCTTCTAAATTTTTTTAAAATTAGCATATTTTTCTATCATTGCAAATGGACCATTTTATGTTAGGTCATTATTTATATTTAAATTTTCATTGTGTCCCCATGTAGTTTTCCTTATTAACTTCTAGGTAATTGAACACATGTTAAGAGGTTTTACCTTTTTTTTTTTTTTTACTGTATGAGTGACAGTGTCCTGAAAATAATCTTTTCCACTGTGATTTATTAATGAGCCATAGTTACAAATCAGCAATGATCCCCTTGTGGGCCTTTATCAGTTCTTAGCAAAAAGGCCACAGACTTTTCTATACAATTAAGGTGACCCCTACATGGCACTTTGTTGACATGCTCAGCAAAGGAGCCAATGCATTGGAGAAACTGGGCATATCATGATCTGTTTTCTAGCAAGGTCTTTCCAAAATGGAGTTGAGGAATGAAAGGAGAAACTCAGGGCTACTGGGGAGAGATTGAACTGTTTTTGTGGGCAGAAGACTTTGGTCTCACAGGCTGTCACTTCAGCATTTTCATGCGCTCAAAAATGCCATGAAATTTCATTTTCTCAAATGCAACACCAATACCAATCCTTGTCCTTCCCCAAAACTCTGCAAGTTTTTCAATGGCTTGAAATTTCTGTTTTGCAAACCCATTAACCAAATCAATGTCTTCCTCTGAAAGAAATTTTAATTAATTTATGTTATTTTCCTAACAGGAAGTGACAGACGGCATGAGCAATGGAGGACCACAACTGATATTTAATGGAAGACTGTATTAACTCAATGTTTTAAAGAACTAAACATTTTTTTAGGATTTTCATGAGGCAAGGAAATACTGAAGGACTAGGAGATAAAACTGAAACAGTCCTTGCATTCACTGTTATCTCTCCTGAACACCCACTAAAATTATTCTTCCTTAATTTTGCCTCACTTACTTCTTCAGCTATTTTTAGTGGGTGAAAAACTTTCCAGAAATGTTCTAGTACAATAATCTCAACAGACTTTCCAGATTGTTCTAAAAAAGACTTTTCAGAAATAAAAGAAGAAGAACAGGTAAAACATAATGATTCATATTCTACACGAGCACTATTTGACTAGCATGAGTGTTAGATTTATAATGACATATTTCATATAAGTAATTAAAAAGCGCAAATATCAAGAAATAACAATAATTTAATGTCTTTGTTTTGAAAGACGATGGCTTCAAGAATGCCACAATTCAAAACCTCAGCAATGCCTTGTTGTAAAAACATTGTAATTATTTTCAATTTGTGAATGAATTATATTTCATAAATTATTTGTAAATGACAAAAAACTTAAAACGTAAAAAAGATTTTTTTTAGAGAGAGAACACTAATCTGTTTGATATTTTTGCATTTTTGCACAAGAGTGAAAGTTGTAAATGAATATCATTTAAGATAAATAAACATGTATTGATCAAATTGTGCAGATTGATCTGCATGTTCATGATTGAGCCTAAGAATAAAATAAAGAATTGCGTGTGTGGATGTGCATATATACGAGGTCTGACAATTAAGTTCAGGAACTCATCTTAGAAAAAGTGCTACATACCTCATTGCTGAGTATCACTATGGTCACCTCTGAAGTACTCCCCTTGGGAGGCTATGCACCAATGCCAGTGCCTAGTCCACCCTTCAAAGCAATTTTGGACTCTTTTTCTGCAATGGCCATCAGAGCTGTTGTCGGATTACCCTGGATGTCCTGAATGTCATCAAAATGTCTTCCTTTCAATATTTCCTTTATCTTCTGGCAAAGAAAGAAGTCATTGGAAGCCAGATCAGGTGAGTAGGGAGGGTGTTCCAATACAGTTATTTGTTTACTGGCTAAAAACTCCCTCACTGACAGTGCCATGTGAGCTGGTGGATTGTTGTGATGCAAGAGCCATGAATTGTTGGTGAAAAGTTCAGGTCATCTAACTTTTTCATGCAGCTTTTTCAATACTTCCAAATAGAAAACTAGGTTAATTGTTTGTCCAGTTGGCACAAATTCATAATGAATAATATAAAAAAAGTTTAACAACATCATTGCAACAAGTTCGAGAACTTAATTGTCCAATCGCGTGTCTGCATATATATATATATACTGTAAATATTGAAAATATATAGAGCATATATTTATAGTATTTATGAATGTAAATAGGTAGTAGAAAAGAAATTGTGATGCTGTGGGGATAGTATCAAGATTCTATTCCCACAGAGATGGGAAAGCAATTGTACAAGGCCTTTCTATGCCCACAAAATTACATATTTAAATTCTACTAAATTTGTTCATTTTTATTCTTTTTATTATGTCTGCTGTGTGTAAATATCGTGGCTGATATTTATGGAGTTGAGTGATCTGAACAGTGTAGTATAAAGATTAATTACTTAATTATTTGGCTATTTTACTATTATTATGGTATTTATGTAATATCAATTTTTAATATTGATTTATAAACATAGCTTTAAATCACATGCTTCCACATTTATAAATATAGACATAATGACTTGTGAATATTCATATTTATATTTCAAATACTTTACAGCCCTATTAATTTATGTAAAAGGACAGGTGACATATACCCAGAAGGTGAAGTTACAATTAGCTTTTCTAAAATTTAATTTAGGTTTTTGTTTTACAGTTTAACATGGAATAGTACAGATAAACCATTTTTAAGAATGCATATATCCAAAGAACCTGAAAGAGTTCTCTGTAGAAGGAAATAAAAAGACGGGCTCACATTTATATAGCAAGATTCAATCTTTTTCTTCCCTAATGTCAAAATAGCAACCTATGACAGTAGACATAGGCAAGAAAATAGCATGATCTTTGAAAATATTGATGAAAATATAACCTCTGGCAACAGATAAAACACTCTATTATTTTTAAATATATAACTCTCATTGTTTTGTATACTTTTACTTTTCACCAAACCTAATCAATTTTCAAGTCATTTTTTATGAGTTACTTACTGAACCATAGCTAAATTACCACCTTAATATCCAGTATGAGACCATGTTATAAGTTAGAAGCAAAATATGGGTTTTAATTGTGCTAAGAAAATAATAATTCCAGTTACTGGAAATCTGAAGGTCTTTCAGTTTTAGAGCAACATGTCATCACCTACTATATTTAAGTCAGCTCATAAAAAAATCTTGGCTGCATATAGTCAAAGGAAATAACTGGATGATGGTTGTTTGATGTCCTTTATCGATGTCTCCCCATTCATTATCCAGTAGATCAAAGAAGCTGCCCATATGAATCAACGTCATCACTGTTCATTTGCAGGCATGATTTTTGTCATTGAAAATCCAAACTATATACTGCAGGTATTTTGTGTGTACATGGTTCTATTGAATTTTTCCAAGGATATTGTTTTGTACTGAAAGAATGACCACTGGCTCTAATTTTAGATGGCATTTCTTTGTAGAAATGTTTGTGCAATACAGAGCTTTAATACATCAGTAAGATGTTTTAATGCCTTTTGAGATAATTTATGAAATCACACTTAAAGGAAAAAAGTAGACATATCACTGCTTTGACATAGAGTTAAGAAGAAATGCAATCATCACAATTATCCAAATAGTCTACAGTGTATTTAACAAAGCATAGCTATATCTTCAAATGTAAATTATTTTATCCCAATATTTTCAGGGCTCAGTTACTTACAGTGATTTATTTGGGATGTGTAATAATTATTTTTGAGATATGTAGGGGAAATTAGGAAGATGCTGCAGTACTTGAAAATTTAATTTTCACAATACGTTGAACTATGAACTACAATATTTTAATGTCTACATTACAGTTTTACTATGAGCCTACCCTTGGGGAAAAGTAATATAACACTAAATTAGAAAAAAGATGTGAGACTTGTGTGTTGGTGTGCTACAAAAAGGTGCAGTTATTATAAACATAAAAGAATAAAAGTGGACTCCTCTTGGAAATTTTAAATATATGTGTGTATGTGTATACACACACACACACACACACACACAATTGTTTAGAAGTGGAACATGGTATGATGACTCTATTGATATGCCTGTGTAATAAAACGGTGTGTTTTGAAACTACATATATGGTGTGAGCTTTCTTTTCGTCGTGACACAAAAAATTAATTTCCCCCGATAGATCAATGTGTTGTTTTGAGATTGACAAGGGACAAGATGCTGTGAATGTAGGAGGCAGAGATGGCCTTAGCTAGAGGCTATGGAATTAAGAAAAGGTATTATTTGAGACAGGAGAGATTAGAGTGTGTTCAAATATAGAAAGAGAGTGGTTGAAGTTACAGGACAAAAGGAGCATAATTAGAAAGTGACGTCCCTGTGGAGGCAGCAGGAAATAAAATACAAATCACAGGAGATAGAATTAAGAATAGATAGGACTGAGATCACAGGAGATCTCACACAAAAAACTGCAATAAAGACGGACCCTGACTTTCAATGTTTCGACTTCTGATTTTTCAACTTTAGGATGCTTCGAAAGCTGTACACATTCTGTAGAAACTGGACTTCAAAATTTGAATCTTGATCTTTTCCTGGGCTAGCGATATGCGGTACGATACTCTCTCATGATGCTGGGCAGTGGCAGTGATCCTCAGCTCTCAGTCAGCCACAAGGTCATAAAGGTCAACAACCGATACCCCACAGTGCACTGTGTTGCCAGAGTTTTTTGGATATTGTGCTTTGTGATTTTGCATCCCATCATGTCTACAAAACACCCATATGTGCCTCCTGCTTCTGATGAGAATAAAAAGGAAGGTAATAACAGGTGCTCGTGGACTTATGATGGGGTTACGTACTGATGATGTAAGTGTCCTGAGCACATTTAAGGTAGGCTAGGCTAAGCTATGATAGTCAGTAGATTAGTTATAGTAAATGTATTTTCTACTTACAATATTTTCAACTTAGGATCGGTTTATCATGATGTAACCCCGTCATAAGTCTGTATTTCAAGAACTCTGCTAGCTGATTTGGGCATGTCAAATTGGTTGCCACTGGAATTTGGGGTGGACAATAATTCATTGTGCAGACTGTCCTATGCCCTTCAGACCATTAAGCATTGCTGGGCCCCACTCACTAAATGCCAGGTGTACACCCCAGCTCTAACAACCAAAAAATGTTCACCTATTTCTTTGGTAGGGAAGTATTGCCCCCTAATTTAGAACCATCGAGGAAAACTCTTGAATGTGATCCAGAGCAGCCAATATTAATGCCACCTGCAGGTGTAGACTTGCTTAGGGTCACAAAGTCACTGTTCCGAGGTCTACCTGCCACCTAATACAGTAGCTACTATCCTACTCAATGTAATTATTTAAATGTAAATGCAAATTAATTAAAACAAAAGAAAATATTCAGTTTCTCATTTGAACTAGCTGTATTCCAATGGCTGAATAGCCACATATGGACAACAGTGATAGAATATTTCCATCATCTCATAAGTTCCCATTAGACAATGCTAGTCAAAAAGCACATAGAGGGGAACTGCTTCCTAACCCTCAGTATTCATACAGGTTCATCCATAGTCAAACAATTATCATTATAGTAGAATGTGTGAGAAGAGTTGGTAACTGCTGCATGGAATTTGAAGTTGATGGACGGGTTAAATCCATGGACTGAGCAAAACTAGCAAATATACAGGTAGGCTAACACCCATAAAGAAGTTGAGAAGTTCCTTTAGAGATTTCATGTTCTAAAAAAATTCTGTTCATGAAAAAATTTCACTAAATTACTAAATATTTTCTGTTTGACAGGTAAAATGAGATGTTTTGTAACTCCTATTTTTGAAGAAACTTACTCAGCTTATTACCATGCGTCAATGAAAAATTCTCCATTTCTTGTGCCTGGGAAGGTGAGAACAATAATACGCTGCCCTCCACCTGTTTCATTGATTTAGCTCAAATGTGGCATGTTTAGAAACCTTATGTCCAAAACTACTTCAAAAATTCTTCAAAGAATTTAGCAAACACATTTCAGAAATGTAGAAAGAGCACAGTAAGTACTATTTGGTTAGAACACAGTTTCCAAATAAAGTTTCAGAACTTGGCATCACTTCACTCTTTTCTTCTTTAAATCAGTTTTCTGGAAACATACGTAATATTTCTTACTCAAAGAATATGACAGCCAAGAAATTCAATTATTCCAAATCCATAAATCACAGGTTGTCAGTTAGTCATAGCAGAGGAAACCAATTCAGAAATTGCTTGGAAATGTAGATGCCTAGTAAAATTATACAGAAAGATTTTTTTTAACTCTTTATGCCAGGAAGATTATTTACTGAATACAAGTCTTTTACCAGGAATGTATTTCCCAAGAAATATA